ATTAATTCATGCTTTAATTTCCCTTAATTAACTATGAATGTGCAGAAGTTGGCTGGCTTTGTGCATGCCAGTCTTAAAATTCAGTGCTTTCTGTAGACAACAAATATTTGGGTCTTATCTTTTGATTCACTCTGACAGTCTCTGCATTTAGACCATCAACATTTACACTGATAACCTCTAGGGTTGGGTTGATTTCTGTTGTGCTAGTTACTGTTTTCTGTTGGTTGCCCTGTTCTTTGTCACTGTTTCTGTCTTCCATTCTCTTTCTGCTTTCTGTGGCTTTAAAATATTTCCATTTCTGTCCTTTTGAAGATATCAGTTGCACGTCTTATTTTTTTAGTGGTTGCCCTGTAGTTTGCAATATCGTTTACAACTAGTCCAGGTCCACTTTCAAATAACATGACACTTCATGTGATGTGCAGGAACTTTATAACAAAGTATCCTGCCTGGCCCTTTTGTAGCATTGCTGTGTCCATTTCACTTATCCATCCTATAATCATCGGACACATTGTTGCTCTTATTGCCTTGAACAAACTATTACCTGCTAAATCAATTAATGATAAAAAAAATTTAAAAACTTATTTTCCCTTCAGTTACCTCTTCTCTAAAGATCTTTCTCCCTTTATGTAGATCTGGGTGTTTTTTTTTTTTTTAAAGTTTTGTATTTTTGTTTTGTTTTTTTCTTCTATTTAGGTCTGAGCTTTTGACCATGCATCTTTCTCTTTGAAAAGCTTTTTTCAAGGCAGGCATGTGTAACACATTCTTTTGATTTTTGCTTATCTGAGGAAGTTTTTATTGGTTCCTCACCTTTGAAGGATAATTCCACAGGATACAGAATTCTACATTGATGTTTGTTGTTGTTGTTCTCTAAACATTAAAATATTTCACACTACACTCTCTTGCTTGCATGATGTTTTGAGAAGTCTGATGACATTCGTAGTCTTGCTTCTGTACTTCTCTTTGGTAAGGTGCTTTTCCCTCTTTGGCTTCTTTGGGAATTTTCTCTTCATCTCTGTTTTTCTTTGGTGTGAATGATATGCGTAAGTATGGATTGTTTGGTTGTCGTTGCATTATCCTGTGTGGGGTTCTCTACTTTGTGGATCTGTGTTTGGAATCTGGCATTAATTTGGGGAAACTCTCAGATAGCATTGCTTCAGATATTCCCTTAGTTCTATCTTGTCCTCCTGGTTGTCTAATTGTGTGTAAGCCACACTTTTTGTGGTCATCCTATAGTCTTGGGATATTCTGTCCCCTGTTTTTCCAGTCATTTTTCTCTTTGCTTTCAAGTTTGGAAACCTTCTGTCTACATGCTTGTAAGCCCACTCTCTCTTTCGCTGTGTGCAGTCTACTAATGAGCCCTCAAGGGGAGCTTCATTTCTGTGAGGCTGTTTTTGTTTCTAGCATGTCTTTTTAGTCTTTTTGAGAATTTCCATCCTTCCTCGTGTTGCCTGTCTGTCTGTTCCTTCACTGGGGCCCTTGGCTTCTCAGTCACAGTTGTTTTAAGCCCCAGGCGGATACTCCTCTGTCTCTGCTGTGTCTGAATCTGCCTCCGATTCTCCTGCCTCTTCACACCGTGCTTTTGCCTTTGTTTTTATTGTTGTTGCTGTGTCATCTGTGTCCCTCTGCATTATCCTGAGCTTTAGAGATGAACATGCTAATTCTGTGGCTGGGGTGACCGTGACAAGTGTGGATGGCAGGTGAAGCTGCCAGCCAAAGCAGAAAATGTATTGACCTTATATACTTTTTCTAGGGACAAAAGTGGTGACCCTTGAGAAATCTCATTGTAGCCTCTGTGGCCATATTTATGTTGCCACGGAAATTATTTCATCTTGATTTATATATGGAGATACTGAAAGAGCAGATGACAGGAATCTCCAGGAAGGAGCATTGAGAAAGACAGGCCATCAGCATCCCATGGGCAGTCCCTGTGCCCAGCATGGTGCCTGCCATGTGGGAGGCTTGAGTGAAACGAATGATGGAAGGGTGTCTGCAGCCAGCCAAGATCTCCCTGGACCTCAGAATCTGTGGTCTTCGGACAGCTTTGTTTATCCAAGAGCAAGGCCCAAGGCCCTTGATGCTCAGCATCTTACCACTTTGCTGAGGCCATATTGAAATATTGAAGGTGTTCAACTGGCATGGGCATCCACACACGGGCCATTCTTATCTAGTTGTACTTGGCTTTGCACAGGAGGTGGGATGGGGTGGGATAGTGGTATTTGTATCAAGGACTAAGGAAACCTGTGTCTGTTGAAGGATTTTGTGTGTCCTGAACTTTGCCCATTGGGGTGCATGTGGAAGTGGGGTATATGATGTTTTCATAGTACTGACATCCTAAGAGGGCTCTGGATGTGACTGAGCAGCTGCACTGGCCCAGGCACTCTGGTTTAGAGACTCCAGAGGACAAGATGGCAGAGAGGAGTTCAGCAGGGTAAGCAGACAGTTGAGCAGGCACCAGGACGAGGGGCATGGGGAAAGGCAAGGCACTCCCCTGTGGGGCTGGCATTCCCCTCGGGTCCTGGGGCCACAGCAGGTGGTCTGCTATTACCATGGTTGTTTATATGGTTAGTATTTTCTTTGCAGGGGTGGGTTATGGTTGACTTCTGCTTTGGGAGGTGCCCTCTTGTGGATGGCTGGGGGAAGGAGGAACAGGGACCCATCCACTCTGAGGTGGCAAGGCTAAGGAGAAGCAGGAAGGATCCAGAGAGGATGTGGCAGGTGGAAGGTGGGCTTGGGGGGTGCGTGTGGGGAGCAGCACCAGCGAGAAGCGCAGGCAGGCCCGTGCCTCCTGCGTCAGCTCACCTGAGCTGGGTTTGGTTGGGCACGGGTCCACTCACTTTTCTTTCCCCTTGAAGAAGCACGTTCACAACCTGCTGGGTCCCTGTGGGGAAGGCAGGTTTCCTATGGCTTGGACACCAGCCAGTGAAGATTCCCTTTGCCTCCCTCTGTCCTCCTTGTCCCCTCTGAGCTCCATGGCTGCATGCAGTCTTGGTCCCCCAGCTCCACACACTTGGAAAACCTTGCCCTGTTGCCCTGGGGAGTCACTGCTTGTGGAACACCAATGGCCTGGGCATTGCGCCTCAGTGAAAGAGGCCCTTCCGTTCCTCAGATGAGGTGACTGAGGCGCAGAGAAGTCAGAGCCCTTACGCAGATCACAGGCGACTGCATCTGCCTGACTCCACAGCCTGGCTCTTTTCTGTATGGTCATGGTCAATCACTGACCACCTCAGTTTGTTCACCTTTAAGGTAAAGGACTAGCATGCCACCTCAGAGGAGGATGTCCTGAGGATTGAAGGAGCTCAGGGCAGAAGTTCTGAGGGGCACTTTTGTGTTGGGTTTCCTTTGGGCTTGAGATCACTCAGTGCTTTCTGAAGTGGGACTGCCTGAGGGGAGTGTGAAGGGGTTTCCAGAGTCACTGGAGGGACTTTGGAGAGGGGATGGATGACCACTGATGAGTATGGGGGTGTAGAGGGGAGTCCCATGGGGGGAGAGGCGGGAGGTGGCCTGTGTGGCCCGACTGGGAGTTCTGTGACAGCTGGGACCTACTCTAGTCTTCTGTGGCATCCCCAGGCCAGCATGAGGGCTAGGTGTTCAGTGTCTCCTGTGGAGTGACTCTTCTTGGCTATGACTCTTCCTCCTGTGTCCTTGAGCAGTTCCTCTCCACGGTGCCTTGCTGAGCCTCTGGTGGGCTCATTGCCAGCAGTGGACCGTGTGCTCTCGGTTCAGGTCATGGCATGGTGTGCAGCCCGGGAAGAAGAGCAGCCTGTATTCTCCTTCAGGCAAGGACTTTGAATGGTCAGCGGCTTTGGGGCTGATGATGGGGATGTCAAGTGGTACTGGTTGTGCCATGGTATCCTGTGGCTTGGGCTGGTGGCCTGGGGCTCAGCGTGGCCCAGAATTTTGGACGGCCTGGGCTCCTGCTCAGTTTCATCTCAGCACTGAGTCCTGTGCTGGCATATATGGAGGACATGCTGTTGAGAGCTCTAGTCTTAGTGGCAGCTCCTGGGAGTTTATTTGTCCTGGGAACATTGAGCTGGGACTTTGGGCTGGGCAAAGGTGGGCATACCAAGATAGAGGTCAAGTCCTGCCCTCCCATGGCTGACAGTTGTGTGGGGACAGCAGGCACAGAGTGGCCTTTCTGCTGCTTTCCCCCCCTTTTCCTTCCAAGCCACCCTGAGATAGTCAGGCCCTGGGACTTGAAGCCATGTCTGGTGGCCTGTGGAGCTGAGGAGCTTCACGCGGGCTATCAACGGCACTGCCGCGGGCACGCAGCCCAACTGCTTTCTCCCCAGTGCTTTTCTTGTGTCCCTCTCAACTAAGTGCAGGTGTTTTCCTGCCTTCTGAGCTTTCATTGCTGTGACCAAAATACCTGCCAAGAACAACTTAGGGGAGGAAAGGTTTATTTTGGTTCATGGTTTTAGAGGTTTAGTCTGTGGTGAGCTGACTCCACTGCTGAAGCAGAACATCGTGGTGGAAGGGTGTATGGTGAAGAACTGCTCAGCTTGTGGCAGGTGGGAAGCATAGAGAGCAAGGAGGAGCCAAGGACAAGATACAGTCCCCAAGGGCATGCCCTAGTCACCGGCTTCCTCCAGCCACACTCCACCTGTCTACACTTACCACCCAGATAGTCCATTCCAATTATTAATCCATCAAATAGATTAATCCTCTGACTAGGTTACAGTTCTCACATTCCATTCACTTCCCTTTCAGACATTCCTGCATTAGCACAGGGACTTTTGGGGGACCCGTCCTATCCAAATCATAATACCTTCCTTTAAAAAAAAAAACTACACTGCTTTCTTTTGAAAGTAGTAGAAATAGAAATTTGGATTTATCTAGAAGAGTATAAAGAAGAAAACAAATATCACCTATAACCTTTTGGAGATGTGGCCATCAAGTGGCCACCACTGTATCCCTGGGGGTAGGGCCTGGCACCTTGCAGATGCTCAGTAAATATTTGTAACCAAATAAAAAGAATGAACAAATATATGTATCATAGAAAATTGGAATCATAAATTATATTCTGCTTTGTATCCTGCCCTTTTCGGTCTTGTGACATTAACCTTTCTCTAGATTAATGTCTGGAGTTTGCTATCAGGACTTTGATGTAACTTACTGACTCTTGGGAACTGAGCATTGTGCTTTTGGGATGGATGGCCAGATGTCATGTCAGAGTCTAGAGTCAGTTCCTTGAGCATGTTCCAGGGTGGAATAAAAAGGTGCCACTTGCTCTGTTGAGTTCTTCCTGCTCATCAGAGCAAGGGTGGCAGGTGCACCTGAGCAGCAGAAGCTGGTTTCTGAGAGCTGCTGTGGTTATGGAGGCAGGTGGGTCAGGGGGCCAAGGAATGAACTGTGGAGTAAGCTCCAGTTATAGTGCACTCAAAGCTGATGGAGGTCATGCTAATTGCAGACAGAATGCCTCCTTCTGGAGTGATGGATGGGGATGCTGGTGACTCCTGGGTGATCCTGCTGGGCACTGAGAATCAGTGTCCCTGTTGGAGAGGAGCCGCCTTCACTTCAGGTGGTCTCCGTCATAGCCTTCCAGGCTAGTCTGCATGGCTCCCTGTGCCCAGGGCTGCCTGCTTAGGCTGTGCTGCATCAGGAGCTGCGGCCTACAGCACTGGGCATCTGCAGCTTGCCCAATGCACTGGCATTGATGAGGCCTCAGTGCACCTCCTCCTGGAAGCCATGTCCTGTGCTTTATGCCCCTCTCCCCAGCCCCCACCCACAAACTGAAGTTTCACTGACTCCATTGTTGCTGAATGCAGTGGCCAGTTTCTGGCCTGAGGAGCTTCCTGTTAGCTTCCCTGGCTCTTCTTCTCTGTTTACAATCTTCTTGCATGATCTTCCTTGACTTCTCCAGGCCATCTGACCCAGCACCACCACCCTCTAGCTGTGTGGCTGAACGTAGCTTACTTTACTTCTCTGCTTTCATGTCCTCATCTGTAAGGGCGTAATAACTAACCTACTTTGTCAGGGGTCCCAAGGACTTCAGGACAGGATCCCTGGCTCCTGTCTTGGGATCTGGCACACACTCAGTGCCTCATGATTGTTCCCTGTTGTTACTGAGCCATTTATTCACTCATTCCACAAGTCTTTATGCAGAGCCTTTTACATGCACAGAAGAGGCAGCAAGGAACAAAACAGACCCAGGTATATGTACTTGGAACTTACATCCTAGGGAAAATAGGAAGTAAGTAAACATACATTTTGTCATGGAAAGCACAGCAGGGCACGGAGAGGGGAAGTGGCACTGTGGTGCACTACTGAGACCCAGCAGTGTGGCCGCATTAGTGCAGAATTTGGAGGTGGGAGTCAGGGTACAGCTTTTGCTCCCCCAGTTCCAGCTGTGGACCTTGATCAGGGTACTACTATTCTCTCTCTCATTAGCTGTGTGACATGGCTAGCTCTCAGCCAGTGTGTGCCTCAGTTTTCTTGTCTGTGATACTGGTGATACCCTCTATCTGGTAGGGGAGAAACCACTAACCTTATGAGGTCTAAACCCATTTCTCAAAGTTTGGTCCTCTGACCCTGCTTCAGGAGTATTGGGAGTGTGGGCGGGATATGCAGACTCCACAGACCCTCCCACTCCCTGTTTCAAGTTCTGAGGTGGCCTGGGACCTGCATTTGGAAATAAATACTCTGGTGATGCATGTTCACTGAGGTCTGAGACCATGATCTACAGTTGTGAAGATCGGGTACTTTTGTCCTGATGAGGGCTATGCTGGGATGAAGTTATGCAAGACGTGGTCACCCGGAAACACCACCTGGGAAGCTTGCTAGAGATTCAAGTTGGATTATCAGGGATGTTGAACTCTGCTCTTAACAGCTTCCAAGTGATTGTGGAGCAGTGAGGAGCACTGGGTTAGACCTGTGAGTGGAGGACATCCTTCAGCGGGGATAGGTGCTATGCCCACAGGTGGTAGCTGTCAGGGGATGCCAGTCCCATCTCATTTGCTAACTCACTTTCCCTCCTTCCCCTAGGATCCCAAGTGATGGTGGTTTACATGGAGGATGAATTGAATGCTGCGCGACTGGCTAGCACGGGGGCGGTGGTCTCTTTGCCTGCAGGTGGGCGGGCGTGAAGCTTAGGATCTCAAGAGTTTCAACCCAAGAGGAAGCATGTCTAAAAAAGGCCGGAGCAAGGGCGAGAAGCCCGAGATGGAGACGGATGCAGTACAGATGGCCAATGAGGAGCTGCGGGCCAAACTGACCAACATTCAGATTGAGTTCCAGCAGGAAAAGAGCAAGGTGAGAGGGCTGGGTGGTGACACTCAGAGGATGATATTGCCAGGGACGTGTGGGGAGGGCATGTTTGCAGGCTGGAGCAGGATGGGCCCCTCCCCTGGGTCCCTCTCTCTCTGGGCCTCAACTTACCCCTCATCAGAATAATATCAGCAGAGCCACATAGAGTGCCAGATGGGACCTGTCAGGCTGTGTGACTTCCCATGTTTCAGTTTCCCTGCAAGACAGGGTGATGATAGTGCTTCAGTGGGTTGCTGTCAGGACTTAGTACCACGTGAAGAACTTGGAAGGGGCCTGGTCCATACCATGAGCTGTTTTGTGCTCTCAGGGCATGTCTGAGCCTTGGAGCCACTCAGGACAGTGGCTTGCTGGGTGATGGCAGACTGTGGGAGTACAGCTAGGGCAGAGCCATTATGTGTGGCCTGTAACTCCCACAAGGGAGGAGCCCAGCTTTCCAGTCCCACAGACCTGGCTTCACCCTCAGCTTGGCCCCTACCTGGCCTCACTGTCTTGGGCAAGTGACCTAAGGTCTCCAAACCTCTGCATCCTCAGCTTGCACACGGCATGACAATTACTGCCCAGTTCAAGGTTGTCATAAAGATCTCAGGTGTGATAAAAAGCCCTGTCAGTGTCTGTTGCCCAGGCACTGCCCTGGTCATTTTTGTTGGCATGGCTCTGACTTGGGTGATCTGAGGGCAGAGCCAGCCAGGGGCTCTGTGAGCACAGGAAAAGGTAGACAACTGGGCCTGTACCTGGGTGGCTTGAGATGTTGATGGTCTGGCCTTTGCAAGGTTAAACCAAATCCCTGCCAAAGTCCCTGGAGCACAGGGGGTGGCTGCCTGGGAACTACAATTGGTGCCTATGTTAAGAAGCACTGGGGCCCAGGCAGCTGCTGAGTGTAGGGGTGGGGGCCACTCCTGGCCTTGGCCCTGGCTCCATTCCCAGGTCAGGATGGCTGCATAGAGAGCAGAGACTTGGGTCAACTTGGAGAGGGAGTGAGGAAGGCCTGGCTTCGGGAGTGTAGGGGTCGATGCAGACCCCCTTACTCCTGGGTGTTCAAGAGATTGGACCTGGTGAAGTAGCCCCTTCCAGCTGTGTTTGCTGGTGGTGCTGACCTGTGCACACCATGCCAGTCAGGAGGGGTTCACTTGCTGGGATCCTCTAGGGCTGAGAGCTGAGAGTTGAGTGCCCAGGCTGCAGGGGCTGGTCTGTGTGTCCAGAAGCAGCAGCAGCAGCTGTGGGGAAAACTGCACATCCAAGTCTGCTGCCTAACCATGAAGCCATGTAACTGCCCCTGCCTCAGTTTTCCCATCTGTAAAATGGAGGGCTTCTAATGTGTCTGTTTTCCTGGGCCATTTGAGGAAGAGTATGACAGTCAATATAAGGCCTGAGGTTGTCCATTACCTGCTCTCACTTGGCAGCCTGTTTCTAACATCTGGGCCTGCCATGTAGACAGCATCCTGTACCTGAGAGGTGTCATGGCCTCACAGTGACCTGTATGGTCAGGTGTGGCTTCCTGTCTCTGTGGGTGAGAAAGTTAGGGCTCAGAGGGAGAGGTGACATGCTCAGGTATATTGCCTGAGTCTACCTTGCCAGCCAGCAGGGACAAGGTGCCACACTGGGCTGCTTAAATAAACAGGGACTTATGGTGTCACCACAGCAGGCTGGAAGTCTGAGGTCAGGTGTCCTGGGCTCACTCCTACTGAGACCCTTCTCCTTGGCTGTGCTGTCTTCGTCTTCCTGTGGACCCACATGGTTTTCTTCTGCGTGTTGGTGTCCTTATCTCCTTTTCTTATGAGGACACAAATTGGAGTGGATTAGAGCCCATCCTGATGGCCTCATTTTAATTTGATTACATCTTTAAAGGCTCTGTTTCCAATATAGTCACCTAGAGGTCTGAGTGTCAGGACGGGGTGGGGTCCAATTCAGCTCCTCTGCCAGGTCAGCACAGCTATAGGTGGTACTGGTAGGTGAAGGCCAGACCTGTGGGAGTCCCCTGTCACCAGGCTGCCCCCCTCCCTCTGGGACACGAGGAAATTCTCACATGAACGCATCTTGCCTGCTCAAGTTCTCCATCCAGCCCCCTTGTGGCCTCCTCTGTAGGACTTTACCCATCCGGTCAGTTGGAGAATATCTGTTCAGAAAGAATTTGGCAATGTGCTCTCTCTGGCTGTTTCCAAAAGCATAACTGTAAATTTTACAATTACATTTAAGTGTTAGTTTTGTATGATCTAATAATAACTCAGTGTTACATTTATAGTGTCATTATTTTAACAAAGGACCCATTGAACACTGCAGGGCAAGGGAGTGTGGTAACTGTATCTGTTCATCTTTGGCCTTGTGTGCATGCTGTGTGCCTGGGCTGGGTGACATGCCTTTGGCAGTGACTGCGGAACAGCCCGTCTGTGGAACAGCCCGTGCCCTCAGTTAGGGTGGTGCAGGATTCCGGGGAGCCAGTGGCAGCACAGCACGGGCACGCTGCATCAGAGTTCTTAGGAAACCTGCAGAGTGAAAGGGCCTGTGGAGGCTTCATAGTGGCCATTTTGGAGGCAGAAGCGAAAGGTGTTCACGCAGTTCCGAGTGTCCAGCAACACCCGCGAGCCTTCTGAGGCCAGTCAAGGACCAGGCCAGTGGGGCGGTGTTCCTGACCTAGAGAGGCCCACCGTCTGGGGTGATGTGAAGAGAGGGTCAGTGTGCCAGGCCACAGCCCCTCACCAGCTGGGCATTTCTTCATTCTCGCCGTGACCAGCACACTTTGGTCTGGATTTGTGCTGGGCCAGGCACTTATCTGAAGTGAGAAAAAGTGAGTTGGACCTCAGCCTGTCCTCAAAGGCTGCTGACTTCTGTGGTGGTGGGTGGAAGGCTTGGTATTTGGGTGTATCCTGAGTAGTGATGGAGTAGATTGTGTTGGGCACTGGAGCCCAGGGAGGTGCTGACCCTGGGACTGAGGAAGCCTTCCTGCCATGCTGAGTTTGGAGGGAAGGTGAGGGGAGGTCCCCAGATGAGGGGCCAGCTTGCAGGAAACTAGGGCACATCTGGGGTGGGAGCCCACAACTCCTGTTGCTGTTGTGGAGGCTGTAAGGGAGGCTGTTGTTATTTGTGACCTCTACCAGTGGTTCAAACTTCCACTTTTTCCTTAGCTCAGTCCTGAACCAGTTATCAAGTACCAGCTGTGTACCTATCTTTTTCTGAGAAGCAGCAATTCAGTGACTCCGGGTCCTCTCCTGGGGCTTGTGCCGGGAACAAACACCAGGAGATTCTTATACTTTTAACTGAATAGTGGGACGTACCCAGAAGAAATAGCAGCAGGAGCAGGGGTGGACAGCAGTGGGTTCTGGAGTGGCCTGTTGGAAGGTGTCGTCAGCAAAGGGTTCAGGGGAGGTGCCACTAAGTGTGGTGGGTGGGCTGGAAGAACAGACAGAGGCATGCCAAAGGCGTATCTCAAGGAGTCCAGGCTGCAGCAGGCAGTGGTGTGGCCGGAGCCGGATGATTATGGCCAAGGGTAGGAGATGGATCAGAAGAGCACAAGGCTCAGTCCTGTGGGCCGGGTAGGACTTAGGCTTGAGTTGTAAGTACTATGGACCTCCTGATGATTTCTTTTTTTTCTTTTTTTTGCTTATTTTATTTTACATTTTTCTTGTGTGTTTAGTCATTTTAGTGTGTCAGTCTGGACTCATGGATACGTGGGCTGCATTCTGGATATAAACCAACAGCCTCTTTGTTCTGTGGCTCAGGCTGTCCCAGCTTTGGCTGTGGTGCCTGTGTGCCTGTGATACCCCCATCATTGTGGAGGTTTTGTGTTGATTTTGTTTGTGTTTTTAGCTCTTATTTTATGATGTTCATCTTGCATACTTCCTGCCCCCATCCTGGAATCTGCCATTTCTCCCGGAGCCCTGACTCCAATTATGGGAGAATGGTGTTAGACACCAGGATCTGGGCACTGGTGTGCTTGCAGCCATGGGAGTGCTCCACTTCTAGACCCTCTCAGCCAAGAGCTAGGAGAGGTGTGCTATGTGTATGTACACGTTATCTGTAAATGTTTCTGCATGTGGCACCTGTGACTGCATGAACTTAAACCTGAGTTCTTGCTGATGTCCCAACACTAGCTCACGGCCATATGCATCATTCCAGCCCCTTCTTTCTTGTCTGAAGCCCCCTACTCCCAACAGTGAGAAGCTAGCTTCCCCCATTCTCCATCCACTCTCTTAGTTGTTCTGCACACATACACATCGTAGTTCCAGAAGAATGAGCCTGTACCCTGTGTGATCTGGAAGGCCTGCAGTAATGAAGGTGTGTGACTCCATCCTGCTCTGTGCACAGGTGTGGTGGGACAGCCTGGGAGGGTTTCTGCCTGGGCAGGAGCAGGAGGTGCCAGCTGAGCTGAGCCAGATATTGCAGGTGCAGAGGGCAGGATGGAGTCACACATCCTCATTACTGTAGGCCTTCCAGATCACACCCTCTCTACCTGAGACTCTACCTGACGTGCAAACCCTGGAGCACAATGACAATGCTCGTGTATCCCCCAGTGACTCTCCACATCCCTCCTTTCAGCATCCTCTGAGGCAGCTGCTGATGTTGCTCTTCACAGAAAGGAAGCCAAGGTTGTGGGAGGTTGTGTAGTCATGGTTCTTCAGAGACTAGAACACACATACACACACATGTTCTGATACTCTAAATAAAGAAGCATATGCATGTATACACAGGTAGACACATAATATTCAGAATGAGAGAGATGTTTTTAAAGCATTGTCTTTTGCCGTGGGGGCTGGCAAAGTGTGTAGGTGGGCTAGCAGGCTAGAATCTCCAACAGGGCTGATGTTGCAGTCCAGGGAGTCTGAAACTGACTGGAGGCAGAATTCCTTTTTCCAGAGGAATCATCAGTCTTTTCTCCCAAGATCTTTAACTGATTGGATGTGGCCCATCTGCAGTTGAAGGGCCATTTGCTTTACTCAGAGCCTACTAGTGTAAATGTTAATCTCATCTAAAAATACCTTCACAACATCATCTAGGGTGATAATTGACCAAATGACTGTTGGTGCTATGGCCCAGTCAGGTTGACACAGAAAGTTGACCATCACAGAGGTTAAGTAATCTGCTCAGGGAAATAGCTCATCATAGTAGATCCAGATCTAAAGGGGTATTATTCTTCTGACTCCAGAGCACTGTCAACACTATTCAGGGAGGTGAGGACCATGTATGTGGTCTTCTAGAAGAAAAATGCCAGAAGCATTTTGTCCATGACCGGGGAAATATTTAATGTCTTGGCCCCTGCACTGAGTCCATCAGGAGGACTGGTTCCAGTGCTCACGTGAGGGGATCAGGGAGCCACTGGTTGCCTCGTGTGTTTGATGGAAGGAGACGTGGTCTTGGGTTTGCCTGGGGGGTTTCATGTGCTTCTTTTCCTGCTGTTATAAGAAAGGGTTTATTGATACCCAGATGACATTGTCAAACTCACTTATAATTAACTTTACCACGGGGTGCTATAGACCAGGTGTGGTGTGGGGGAAATGCTGCCATTTTCTGTGGAGCAGCCCATTCATCAGAGGCAGCTGGTTGCAGTGTCCCAAGCCTGCCCTTACCTGGAATGGGGTTTTAATATAGGGTTCTGTGGAACCAGAGTATTTAAACGAAAAGCACCAATGAGGGTTTTCTTAACACTCCCTGGGCACATTTTACAAATAGGGTTTCAAATGGCTGATTGGAGGGTTAGATTCAGAAGGGGCTTGTAGCCAGCAATTCAGGAGTCCCAGGCCCCTGAGGCAAGGGTGCTCTGGAGAGGCCCCCAGCCAGAGCGCACCTCCCTAGGAGCCTGGCCTCCCCCTTCCCTCTCCGCCACCTCTGCCCCCTCTTGTTTGGGTCAGAGTCTCTCACAGGGGCCATGGAATGGTTTTCCGGTTTGGAATCTGCTCAGCCTGGTGAGAGCTGGTGTGTCCTTCCTCATGAGTTCCAGGATGAAGGGGTTTCCATGCTTGGCCCTCCTTTCCAACATCCTCAGGTGGTGTTCCCCCTCCAAGGAAAATCTCAAAAATCACCTAGTAGGACAGATCCTGGTGGGGCTGGTGGGGGGGGGGTCAGCACGGTTGAGTGGTCCAGGGGGCATTGGAGGTGGGCATTTGGGAGGGTCTCAGGGGCGTGGGAGGCTGTGGCCAGGGCACCACCGGCTTCCCTGCCCGTGTCCCTGCCGACTCTCATGTTCTGGCTGCAGGTGGGCAAGCTGCGCGAGCGGCTGCAGGAGGCCAAGCTGGAGCGTGAGCAGGAGCAGAGGCGGCACACTGCTTACATCTCTGAGCTCAAGGCCAAGCTGCACGAGGAGAAGACCAAGGAGCTGCAGGCGCTGCGCGAGGTGCTCATCCGGCAGCACGAGCAGGAGGCAGCCCGCACGGCCAAGATCAAGGAGGGCGAGCTGCAGAGGCTGCAGGCCACGCTGAACGTGCTGCGCGACGGCGCGGCTGACAAGGTCAAGACCGCGCTGCTAGCTGAGGCTCGTGAGGAGGCGCGCAGAGCCTTCGACGGCGAGCGTCAGCGGCTGCAGCAGGAGATCCTGGAGCTCAAGGCAGCGCGCAAGCAGGCAGAGGAGGCGCTCAGCAACTGCATGCAGGCCGACAAGACCAAGGCGGCAGACCTGCGCGCTGCCTACCAGGCACACCAGGAGGAGGTGCACCGCATCAAGCGCGAGTGCGAGCGCGACATCCGCAGGCTGGTACGTCGCCCTGCACCCCTACGCCCACTCACAGCTTCCTGAGGGGTTTGGAGGACCCATAACACTCTGACTTTGTTTAAGGGTCTGGGGTTGCAGCCAAGTCCCCACCAACCCAGGCTAGTAAGGAGGCTTTGGGGTGCAAGTCTCCTCATTGGGTGTGGTCCTTGGACGGTCATCAAACCCCCGGAGTTGGTGTCCTCATCTGGAGGTTAAGGCTTACAGATAGGGTAGGGCTATGGTAAGAAAGTGTTGTCGCGGATGTGTGTGAAGGCACAGGCGTTCATCTAATTTACTTTAGTTAACTATCAGCTGGCCAAACCTCCGGTTGCCCAGGTGAGTCTGCCTGCCAGCTAGCTGTTGCAATAGCTGGGGAAAAACCTGTTGCAAATAATCAGATTTTTAAAGAAATCAGGGAAACTGTGAAGCTATGAGGTCTAGAAGAAAGAGCCTTTCTGGGGTGAACTGAAAGTCCCTGCAGCCTTTCTCAGGGCAATCTGTCTGGGGGAGGAGGAGGGTCTTGTCTCAAGCAGAGATTCTGCTGGGGACTGAGATGACTAGGACTTTTTCCACCTCTCAGGGTTAACTTTACCACCGGGTGCTTTCTTCATGAAAGTGGAAACCAGACCAGGCCAGTTTGCTCCATAGAATATTCTCTTGAGTTCTGAGGTGATGTGAGAATCCAGTGAGCCAAGAGGTAATAGATAAGCTCTGTTGACATGGGAGACAGAGCATGGTGAGGGAGGGCCCCTGAAGCAGGCATGGCCAGCCTGCCCGGCAACACACTTGACTGACCCTGTGGGGTGCAAGAGGCTGAAGAGCTAAGTAAGTGGGGTTCTCCAACTGGACAAAGGACAGTGTTTACAAGGTTGCATCTTCAGGAAGATTCAGGGTAGGTGGAGACATCAGAGGAGGGGACCCAAGCACCATGCAGACCCTGACCAAGATAGAGCCACTCAGACTGTGTTGAGGCCAGAGACTTCAGGGCAAAAGGGATCCTAACGATCCTCAAAGACAGCGCCTCTCTCTGTTTTGGCAAGGTCATCATGCTTTCTTCCTGGGCCAGGATATTGCCCATTTCTTCTTACCTCCTTGGCATGAATGTGCTGATTCCATTTTCTTGGTGAACTTGAGGGTCCATTTGTTCTGGAGACCTTGAGCAGAGCCACACACCTTAGATCGTGTCCTCTACAAAACTGAGGCCCTCTGCTTGCTTATGTTCTTGGTCACCTTATGACCTGTTGAGACCATGGCTATGAGGTGGTGTGGAGCCACAGCTGCTGCTCTTCAAAGGTTGCTAGGCAGGGACAGTTCTTAGTCATTAAGGGTCAATTAAGAAAACTTCATAAAGTATAAAAGAAAAACGTGTCAAACCTAAAAGGCAAAATGGATAAATCCACAGTTTAGCTGGAGATTAACAGATTTCTGTCAGCAAGCCCTGGAACATGCAGATGAGAAAATGAATGATGATGTGTGGGATTTAAGTAGCATGATTAACCAACGTGAACCAAACTGACTTAAAACCACATTGCAACCAACTGTTGAGCACGTTTCTTTTCAAGGGAACATGGTCCACTTTAATCAAAATGGTCTGCATTTCAAAATTTGTAGGTTGCCTTTAATCAGCCCAGAGAGTAAAACACATTCTAGATAAAAAAGAAGAAATGCTGGAAACCAAACACCTAAGCTTCTATCTTAAGAAGAAATTGAAAGAACAGCCAATAAAACTCCCAGAAAGCATGATGAAGGAAATCAGAGAGCAAGAATCACTGCAACAAAATCAATAAAGGCTTAAAATTTTTAAGTTAATTAAAATTTATAAATTGATAAACCCATAGCAGTACTGTCGAAAGGAAGACGTGACCATAATTTGCCAGTATAAAAAAGGTGAAGATGAACACCACAGCTCTTGCAGACCCTGAAACACCATGAGAGTACACCAAGATCTCATTGCAGACGGATGGCACATCTGCAAGCAGTCACAACTTCCCCAAGACCCAGGACAGGGCAGGCAGAGCACCTGAGTAGTCTTAGACCTGTTAAGGAAACTAAGTCACTAATTTACAGTCTGTTCATCCACAGAAAGCCCAGACCCAGGTGGCCTCACGGGCAAAATTGTCCAAGTATTTAAGGAAGAAATAAAATGAATTCTATAGGATGTAGTCTTCCTGAAAATAGACAGTAACAGACTCTACCTCTCTTACAAAGCCAGCATCATTTCAAAACTAACGACAACCGGGGGTGGAGGTGCATGCCTGTAATTCTAGCAGCTGGAGAGGCCGAGACAGAAGAATCGCAAGTTCAAAGCCAGCTTCAGCAATGGCAAGGTACTGAGCAATGAGTGAGACCCTGTTTCTAAGTAAAATATAAATTAGGACTAGGAATGTGGGCCCAGTGGTTGAGTGCCCTGAGTTCAATCCCTGGTACCCCTCCGCCACAAAAAGATCCAACAACAGTACAAGAAATGAAAACATCTTGGGTTAGCTCTTACAAACATGTAATAATAATAATAAGATGTCAACAAATTAAGTCTAGCAATATTAGAAAGGCTAGTAAATCATGATCAAGTTGAGTTTATTCTGGGAATATAAAAATTAGCTTAATATTCTAAAAATCAATGAATATAATTCACTAAGTAATATAATCAAGGATGGAAAGACCCATATAAATTAAGTCACTAATTTATAGGTAGGCACTTTAATAGGCTAGAAAAAGCATTTTACAAAATTCGGCTTCATGGTATAAACTCTTAGCAGATCAGAAGTAGAATGGAGTTTCTCTATCCTAATGAATTGTTCTACTGAAAACTTACTAATAACCTACATAATTATGAAATATTTAACATTTTCCACCCATAGTCAAGGCCAAAACAGAATGACCATTATCATCAATGTTCTGTTCAACATCGTACCAGCTAGGATGTCAAATGCAAAAACCACAAAAGAAATAAAAGTTTTAAAGATTGAAAAAAGGGCAAACACACTTGAATCAAACTGTGAAAGATGATGTATTAAGAACTGTGTAATGTTTTGAACGACCAACAATAAAAAAAAATAATAAAATAAAATTACATTGCTATATAAAAAAAAAAACCTTAAAAACTATAGTAGTAGGCTGGGGATGTGGCTCAAGTGGTAGTGCGCTCGCCTAGCATGTGTGAGGCACTGGGTTATCTTCTCAGCACCACATAAAAATAAAATAAAGATATTGTGTCCATCTAAAACTAAAAAAATAAATATTAAAAAAAGAAAAAAGGGAAAACTCATCATTTGAGTTTTTGATGCTTTGTGCTATAGAAAACCCAGGAGACCTGCCTTGGTCTATTCCTGCTGGTATAACAAAATACCAGAGTCTGGGTAATTAATGAATGAAAATCACATATTTCTCACAGTTCTAGAGGTTGAGAAGTTCCGGATCAAGATATCAGCAGGTCCTTTGTCTGGAGAGGGTCCAGCAGCCCTGCTCCCAAGATGGTGCCTTGAATGCTGTGTCCTCACACAGCAGAAGGGACTGCAGGGCAAAAGGGGCAGGCAGCTCCCTCACATCTCTTGTGTGAAGTCATCAGTCTCATCACTTCCTGAAAGCCCCTCCTCTCAGGACCATCATGTTGGCAGTGACATATCCACATTGTCATGGTGGGACACATTGAGATCATCATAGGAAAATACAGACTGCTAGTATTAATAAGTGAATTCATCAAAGTCTGCAGATACAAGGACAATACACCAAAATAAATTTTGTTTCTATATACCAGTAATGAACAAGTGGAAAATTAAAAAGTAGCATTTAAAATAGAGCACCAAAAAATTAAATACCTAGGAATTAGTCTATTGAGAATTATATCAGATTTCTATCCTGAAAATACAACATTGCTGAGAAAAATTAAAGGAGACATAAATAAATGGAGAGATTATTTTTATTTATTAGAATACTTAATGTAGATATCAGTTCTCCCCAGTTGATTTGTAGGTTCAATTCAGTGGGTTCCAAAATCCCAGCAGAGTTTTTTTGGTAGACATTGACAACACATTCTCAATGATATAACAACCGAAAGGACCTGGAATCACAGTCTTGAAGAGGAAAAAATTTGAGGTCTCATAAGACCTACAGCAAAGCTTACTCCAAACTTGTAGTAATCAACACAGGCAGAAGGATGGACAGGTCAAAGGAACAGAAGGATCCAGACACAGACCTACTCATTAGTGGTCACTTGATGTAGGAGTTCAGTAGGGAAAGGATGATCTTCCAGTAAACAATGTTGAAACAGGATGATCTGTAAGGAAAGAAGAAAAGAATATTGATGCCCGTGTCATTCATCCTCAAAGATTTGTCTATTCAAAGTGGCCATAGACAAAAATGAAGACACAAGAAGCAGCCAGGAGACTATTTTCATGGTCTGGATGGTGAACACTTCTTAAGCAGGATGGAGGTGCACTGAGCACCTGAGTCCACTACTCACAATATTGTCCATTATTCAGAAAACAGTGCACCTTGGACACTAAAGAATTTCTGTGCATCAGAGGACACTAGTAAGAGGCAAGGCAAACTAAAGACTGGGAGAAGATATTTTTCAAGATGTATACCATAAAAAATTTTTGTTTAGATTATAACATCAACTATAAAACAATATGAAAAATAACTTGGTTGAAAATTAGGCAAAAAGCTTGAATAGGTGCTTCAAAAAGATATTTAAATAACTAATAAATCAATGAAAAGAGTCTCAAACTTATTGAACATCAGGGAAACACAAAAAGTAAGTATCATTTTTATGCCCACTAGATTGACTATAGTACTTTTTAAAAAACCAGGTCACAGGGGCTGGGGATGTGGCTCAAGTAGTAGTGCGCTCGCCTGGCATGCATGAGTCACTGGGTTCGATCCTCAGCACCAAATAAAAATAAAATAAAGATATTGTGTCCACCTAAAGCTAAAAAAATAAAAAAATTTTTTAAAACCCAGGTCACAGCAGATATTGACTAGCATGGGGATCAGTGGGAACCCTCATATGGTTATATGGAGTAGCCCATGTAATCAGTGGCAGTTTTTTAAACATAAATTCAGTTACCAACTCAGTAGGTCCACTCCTAGGTGTCTATCCAAGAGAAAAGAAAACATATGCCTGTTGAAAGACCTATATGTAAGTGTTCCGAGTAGTATTATTCCTAAAAGTTGAACAATGGAAACAAGCCAATGTCCATCAATTGCTGAATTGATAAGATATGGTGTATGTGCATATAGAATGCTTCTCAGCAATAAAAAGGGGTGAACGATTAGTACATGCTACACAGTGGAAGAACCTCAGAAGCATTATGCTAACTAAACAAGAGAGGCTGGACCCCTAAGACCATGAGGAGCCTGGCCTATTTATATGAAATGTCCAGAACAGTCATGTTTGCAGACATACATTGGTGGCGGACCAGGGTTTGAAATGTGTATGAAGGATCTTACTGGAGTCATGGGAACATCCTAAAACAGATTCTAATGATGGTTATACAATTGGCAAACTTATTAAAAGTGGGTTTGTGAGAGGATTTTGTGATATATAAATTATACCTAAAATGTTTAAAATAACAGAAATCTGGAAAATTTAAATCACATAGATGAAGGTTTAATTGCAGATTCTGTATTTGTATTAAAAAAGTCACCCATATTTATCAGAGGAAAAAAGCACATGAGACAACTCTCTGCAGCTACCAGGCGGCTAAATTAAAAAGGTTGATAGGACCAAACAAGAAGGGTATTGTGTTAGCAGATTTCTTCACAGTGACAAAATACCCTTGATAAATAAACTTGAAGGGAGGAACGTTTCAGCCCATGGTCATTCGGTGCTGCTGCTCTGGGCCTGTGGTGTCACAGTACATCATCATGGTAGGACATGTGGTAGAGGAGGCCTGTTCACCTCATGGTGGCCAGGAGGCAGGTGTGTGGGGGGAGGCAGGGTCCAATATCCCCTGAGGACATACTCTAGCCTCCTGACTTCCTCCCATTAGGCCCTGCCTCCTGAAGGTTCCACCATCTCCAAACAGGTACCACAGGCTGATGGCCAGGCCTTCAGCACATGGCTTCAGGAACATTCTAGATCCAATCCATAGCAGATGTACAGTCATTAGAACTCTGATTTCTCGTATATTAAAGTGATGAACAGAAAAAGTCCATATACAGCCACAACAGTGTTCAAAAAATAAGAGTGAAATAAGTACATTTTCAAATTGAAGATCACCAAATATATTAAAGGAAGTTCACAAGGCAAAGAACAGTGCCAAATAGAAATTTGGTTCTATAAGAGAGGAATGAAGAGTTTTGGAAATGAGTAAATGAGGTAGTACATGGCTACCTATTTTTCTTAATTTCTTTCGAATACAAGTGACTGTCAAAAGCAGAATAATAACAATGTACTTTGGAGTTTATAGCATAAGCGGAAGTAGAATGTATAAAACAATAGCACATGGGACAGAAATGGGTCTTGGCGGTAGTTGCAAACATAAATGGGCTAAACTGGTTCAATAATGTGGATGTGTTCTGCAGCTGTACATATACATCCACGTGTCTGATTGGATACAAAGTCACACTTCAACTCTAGAGACCCACTACCCTGAAGTACAAGGGTTGACAGTTTGCTGTGTGAACAGTGAGCATAGTAGTAGGGTGAATGCCATGTGGTCCGTCCCTGAAAGGCTGGGCAGCAATGTGAAGGAAGGACTTTCTGACACATAGAGAATGAATGAATCTCCTGGACATAATGCTAGAAAAAAAAATCAGCCTTAAAAACCACCACTTTATGATTCTGATTTAGTCAGATTTTTCACTGCTGGGACCAAAATTTAAAACAAGAACAATTTTAGAGGAGAAAAAGTTTATTTGTGTCTCCCATTTTCAGAAGTCTCAGTCCACAGATAGATGATTCTCTTGCTCTGGGCCTCAGGTGAGGCAGAACATCATGGTGGAAGGGCATGGAGGAGGAAAGTGGCTCCAGTCAGGAAAACCAGGAAGCAGAAAGACTTTTCTCACCAAGTATAAAATATATACCCCAAAGGCCTGCCCCAGTGACCCCCCTCTCCAGCCACACCCTGCCTCCCTGCAGTCACCACCCAGTGGTTATACAACTTGATTATACACCTACAAATCCACTCTTAATAAGTTTGCCAAGTTGTATAACCTGTTGTATAACCAGTTAATCCCTATCAGGGGATTAATGCACTGATTAGGCTAAAACTTTCATCACTCCAATCATTTCACCCCTAAACTTTCTTGCACTGTCTCACACTTGAGCTTTTGGGGGACACCTCATATCTAAACCATAACAGATTTCATTTATGTGGTCAAACCATCCCCAGTGCTGGAAACAAGGGTGTGTGGATTAGCTGGGGATGGGTGGACATGGAAAGCAGGGGCTATCTGGGGTGTGAGGAACATTCTATATTTTGTGTGTTCAGATACAGGCGGTTCTAATTGGCATGGTACCATGTGAAATGGGACTCACGCATATCAGTACCATGCCCTCATTTTGCTTGTTCCTGTGGTGACTACATCGGATCTGTCACTGCAGAGCCATGCAGTGTGAGGACTTAGTTCTGCTTTGCACACCTCTCCATCACAGGAGTGCTATGGAAAGTGAGGGCTACCTGTACGCTCAGAAATTGTTCTAAACTTGATCTGTGTGTACTCCTTCCTGCATTTATGTTATAAGTCAACTGAAATAAGATATTAAAAGAAAAATGAATTACCAACATCATTAGGATTCTTGAGGGCCTAGTACAAGCACTCTATTTTTTATATTCTGTGCTGATTCTCAACCAGTTGAAGAATAAGACAAGTGTCAGCAGAGGGAGATGCAAATGGTCTCCTTTATTACTGACAGAGAAGGCTAGAAAATGCCATTTTCTGAAAGGAGCCAGAATGGCCTTCTGACTTGTAGCCATGATGGCAGCTTATTTGATAGAGCCTCTGAATCTTGAAGCAGACACAGTTCCCTGAGTCCTGCCCCCTGCTGGTCCAGGAGAAGCAGGAGGGCAAGGACATGAGGCCCCCATGTGCAGGCCCTGGATGGCTGAGCACCAGTAACTGAGCCTGTCGGGGAGAAAGGGTTGGGATGGGAAGGCCAGGAGAAGGCAGGGAGACCCTGGGCTCCTTGTGAACCCCAGGGGTGGTGCAGAGGCGCTTCCCTAACAAGCAGCATGGACAGACTGTCCTCACCCTGTCCTTCAATCAAATGGAGCCAGTAAGGGAAGCAAATCTGAGAATTGATTGACTCAGGAAACTGAGAGCAATGTCTGGCTATGGCACTGCTGCATGGAGGCCTAGAGGAGGCTTGGGCCTGGTCTTTCTCCACTCTCAACTCTGCTTTCCTCTGAGTTGGCATCACTGCCAGACTATGGGAATGAGATAGCTGAGCGGCAGGACCTTTGCTAGCTCAAAACCTGTGGTGTTGGTTTCCAGGCAGAGCCTGCTAGGGGTGCTGAGTGGTGTTGGACTATGCCAGCTGACCCCACAGAGTGTGTGGAAGAGGCCGCCTATGTGAGGCTCCTGAGCTGAGTGTGG